CGATGCGATAATTAATGCACAAGAGTCTCTAGCACAGGCTGCGCGTGCGCCTGCGCGCCGAACCACTTGCCTCGCGGTGCCACAAATCAGGGTACAGTTATTTGGGGCGTTGAATGATTTGATGGATTAAGTAATTAAGCGATTTTTCACTGAGAGCGACCCATTGAGTTGTATCTATATATATACCCATAGATATATATACAAATATATATATGTATTTGCTCCCACACATGGATACGTATTTCTTTTCAATACAACATTTCAATTTCCAAATATTTGTTCCACTTTTTTTCTTGTGTGTTTTGCGGTTTTGGCCTTTTGAAACGGCCAAACAATTTTGTGGGCCAAACGAAAATGTTTAAGTATTGTATTTTCATTTTTGTTATTGTTGCCGAACATCTCACTTGGGGCAGACAGAAGCACAAGGCCAACGGCAACAGCATCCACATCAGCATCAGCATCAACATCAGCATCAGCATCAGCATGGAACCCCATGATAGTGCCGAGGCCGTGACGTATGTAGATGCTGCCGCAAGGAGGCAAGTGAGAGAGATGAATGTCCATTAATTTATTGAATATCGATGGCCAATATGAACAGCAGCAACAGCCCTTCTACAGAAAGAAACGCTATTGAAAAAGAGAATTCTAAGAGAATTTACGAGCAGCACGAGAAACGAGTTCCAATGTTGGGCTTTTATTTGGCAGGAAATAATTGTTTTATTCTTTTCCATTAATATTCTTTTTGTTGTTCCATCAAAGCGCGACTTATGACATTTATCCACTATCACAATTTAATAATAATAAATAATTAATAATTAATTAAATAAGCTTCGGGATTCTTAGTCGCTGCCTGTTCCCTCTCCTCTAGCAAACACTCCCCACCCCTTTTGCACCTGTCCCATGTGCTCTTGTATGCCCAAAACTGTCATCGCTAATTGCTGGCACCGCTTAAAGGAGATTGATTGTGTCATGGATGCCATTTTAGCCATTCCCATTCCCATTCCCATCGTCCGACAACGGTGACGTCGCTTCAGCCCATATGGCATCTATGGGTACGTGGCTTGGGTACGTGTATATATAGATGGAAAATATACATATACACATGTAAATATGTATGTATGTTGATGCGATGCCATGCTGCCTGTGCTGCCTGTGCTGTGCTGTGCGACGATTACACAATATATCTTCCCGCTAACAATGTACAAATATTAAATGTATATTTTTATCACACTTTGTCGAGCGTGTTCCCCCCCTGCCCCGCCCTCATGGGGTTGGTGGGGAGTATGGTGGAGTGTGGAGCGGGCGGGCGGGGTGGCGGCTACGTTTCTCGGTTAGTGTCACAGAGCGATTATAGAGACGTTCTAGTCACCCAAATTCCTATAAATACATTTATTATGGTATTCTCCCTGCTTAATGACGCGTAGACGCGTTTCTATAATTTACACAATTCCCCCCTAGCCCTAATTTTCTCTGTTGCCCTGCCCTGCTCCGCTCTGCTCTGCTCTGCTCTGTTCACATGCAATTTATTTATAACAAAAACGAATAAAAAATGCCGCCGATCGTCGATCACTGAAGGAGGGGAGCAGAGGGAGAACACCTCATATGATTTAATCATATGAAACAATCATCATATATGTACATATGTATGTGTGTATGTATTGTATGTAGAAACGATGCCAGAGAGCACCTGGATCAATTATCGTGCCAGAGGATCGAATTGGGGGGGGGGCGGAGCGCGATAGCAGTGGGTGGACCTGTGGATGAGCATCGATCAGCTAATGGCCAGATCCATCATTAAGTTGGACAATGCAGCCATAAAATGTAAAAGCCTTAGCCATCAATTTCCATTCCCCATACATTTCGATCCAATCCGAATCGAACCGAACCGATCCCATGCCCATCGATCAGGCATTTTCCCTCAGATATGTCAAAAATTGGCATTTCTCCTCCACGATGCCAGCGCCTCCTCCTGCCTGGCTGCCTGCCCTCCCGCCTGCCTGACTGCCAGCCTGCCTGCCTGCTGCTGCTTACTGCCTTCTGTTTCTGCTGCTTGCCGGGACGGGATGGGACGGTACGGGACGGTACGTCTAGATATTTATTGAAAAGGCGCAGACAAACATAAAAGTGAAATAATATTTCTGGCCAGATGCCAGGGAAATGCTGAAACAAAAAGCCATGGATATGCTAACAGGAATGGGGATGTCTATGGGACTGCGATCGGGAACGGCAACGGGAATGGGAACGGGAACGGGCACATCCATCCAAAGGCAATATAGCAAGCGGGAATGAAACTTTCAAAATTGGTGGGGTGGCATATGGAGGATAAAGTCAGACGCACGTCGTCCCATTTGAGCATCAGAGTTGGGGGTCGGTCCAGCCCGGCCTGTTTATATTTGACTTATGTGCGTGTATTTTTGTCCCTCCCTGGGGTCTGTTGAGGGGCAGGAGGGGGCTGCAGCTATGCCTGCATTCAATTGGGGGAGTTCGTTCAGTTGGCGGCGCAGACGCAGTGACAGCCTCGAATCAGACGGGATCAAACACACTTCCTAGACGTTTATGTTTTTGTTTGTTTGTTTGCTTCGACACGTCAGTCATTGCCAGGTACAGTGGTCAAGGATTGTAAAAATAGTGCTAAAAAAAAACCAAGGAAATTGATCATTTCTAGACTACTTTTAATATCTGTAGATTATAAATTTAAATAAATAAAATAAATTAAATTATTATAAATTATCTGGCCCTACCTTTACCTTTAAGGGAGTATCTGTATCAGAGAGATTTGCTCTATAAATAAATTAAATTGTTATAAATTATTATAATTATCTGGCAGAAATATTCCTTTACCTTTAGGAAAGTTTCTCTATTAGAAATATTTGCTCTATAAATAAATTAAATTATTAAAAATTATCTACCTTTAGAGAAGTTTCTCTATTAGAAATATTTGCTCCATAAATGTGTAAAATGTACGACACATGGAAAGAGGAGACACTTCCTGAGAGCAATCATTTTTGCATCATTGGAAAGCATTTCTTTTGTTTATCCACAATCTATTCTGGTATCCTTTTTTTTGGTGTCTTTTCCCTCGAAAATTCGTGCAAATTAATGCAATAAATAAATATTTAAATTGCATAAATTTAATTCCATCAATTAAATAACATTTGTTGCTTTTTTGCCATTATTATATGCATATTTGCAATCAAATCTGTTACCCACTGTGCCTGGAATGGCTTCTGTTATGCCATGGACTTTCTCTGGACTTGTGCATTTTTTTTCGTTTTGGTTTTTTTTGCTCTGATTGTGGGCTGTTGCATCTGCAGCCACTGCTGGCACTGCTGCCGCTGTGCTGTTGCATTTATGAGATGCTTTTATGGCAATTTGAACGCTTGCCAAATTGCTTTCCACACACGCACACGGGCACGGGCACGGGCACGGGCACATGGGCGGCAGAGGGCGCGAGGACGAAGCCGAGGGATATGGCTGCCACCCTTTTGCTCTGGCGTTTTCTTTTCCTCAATTTGTTCGGTCTGTCGTCGGGGAAATGCAATTTCCCAGAAGAACGAACGAACGAAACGTACGAAAAGGGCAGACGACGCCTGATGATCCCAGACGCAAACGCAAACGCAGATGATGGCAAAGGCAACGATGATATGTTGATGGAGGCCAAAGAAAATCAAACGCATCATTTGACTTCCGGCAAGGCGCAGCGGGGGCAGGGCGCGTGAGTGGCACGATACAATGCCGTCATTGGGAAGCGCTGCAAAGTGCCGCAGATGTTTGGTGCCTGCCAACCAATTAGACCCGCCGAATGCCGTTCGAATGCCGAACGACAATGGCAAATAATTTGGAATTTTCTATTGTTGCAATTCCGTTCGCAGGCTCGTAAGTGAAGGAGCACAGCTCCCCGCCATTAGGCGGAAATGAATGCAAAGTGGAAGGCGGGGGCCAGGCCAGGACAGACCTCTCCTGCTGCTGCTGTCATGCGGGGATATTTTTGTAGGCTTTGGCCAAATGCTGCCCGCCAGTCGGACGCCCACTAAACAAACTGAACTCTCACCTCTCATGCTCCAAGGCTCGCTAAGCTGCCGACGAAAGGAATGGAATGGAATGGACTCTGGCCAGACAAACAGATCCAGGGGGATTACCACCTGCCAGCGCAGAAGATCTCTCCCAGATGTGAATGCGATTGGGCGACATGGGGATGTGCCAAAGCAAACAGAAGACAGACAGAGAGACACACAATTTACGCAATAGTCGGGGATCACTGAATCTCCGAATCTGCGGCTAATTTACGATACAAGTTATTATTAATTTGTCATCGGGTCGGGGGCATCCATTTCCCAGTTGAACAAACAAAAGCTAGATCCCCAAACGACAGACAGACGGATGGACGGACGGACGGACTTATAATTAAGAAAGAATTCTTGTCGGCATGTCTGCTGTTGTCTATCGGCTGTTGTCTCGCTGCTGCTGCTGCTGCTGGTGTTGTGATGTGGCCTGATATTGTGGTAGGTAAACCCCCCTGTCTAACTGACTGCTCTTAATGGCTCATGGCTAATTGACATGCCTATAAATAGGGGGGGCACGCAATGGAATTAGCAAAGACAATAAAGACAATAAAGAGTCTAAAGGGAAGGTCATCGTCTGCGACTAACTAATGCCTTTGGCATTGTTTAACTGGACGCGGACTATGGTCCCCAACCAACTCTCTCTCACTCTCACTCTCTTTCTCTCTCTCTCTCGCGTCTTTCGTTCCCCACACAACAGCTGGCAAATGTCACTTGTCAGGGGGATTTTTAGTTTTTACGACAGTTCCAATGCGACAACACGCCCACGGGGCAACTCACCTTTGCAGATCTATTCTCACTCACTCACCCATACGTACATACGTTCATACTTGTGTGCAATATGTGTGTATATACATACATCGTACATCTTCTATATCTTCCGTTTGTTTTATATCTTTCTCTCACTCTCTCTGTGTGTGTGTGTTTTTTTTTTTGCAGGCAATCTTATTTTATACACCAAGATGGCTGTGGAAATCTTGGGAGGGTGGCAAGATTCATGCGCTCATCATGGACTTAGACATAGGCATTTGTTCCGAAGCCGAGAAAAAACAAAAAAAGAAATTACTTTTAGATTATTTGTGGGAAAATTTAAGGTGAGTACCAACCAAAAAGCTGTAAATGTATTTATTTAGACACAAAATTAAACGGGAAAAATGTTGCTCAAGTTTTCTTTTGCTAAATGCATTTAAATGTTGATTGTTAAATTCCACGAAATTCAAATATATATCTGCTGACATTTCGCCTGATCAGCACTTTCGTTGCCATTTAAATGTTTCAATTCCTGGAAATTATTCTGCCCGATTCGAGGGTGAATCAGCATACAAAAGACAAAGGAAACTTAAACAACATTTTGGCATTCGGATATATTTATTTACTAATTACTGAGAAAACAACAAAAATCCATTCTGATTCACTTTTAATTGTCTAATCGTTTAACCCTTGTTTCTTCCGCCCCGCCCCGCCCCGCCCACGCCACCGACAGATATCACAATTGGTGGGCGTACAGATATTACGTGTGTGAGCTGCTCGCCCTTATAAATGTGATAGGTGAGTAGTGTCAGTGCAGCAGCAGCAGCCACAGCAGCACCAGAAATGAACTGGATGGATGGATGGATGGATGGATGCAGATGAGATGAGATGATCTACTGGAGGGATCGACTACTTAGACCCATTCAGATCTGATCTATTGTCTTATTTTGGACCAGATCTGATTGGGTCCGCCAATGTGTGTGTCTGATGGATGTTCCAATGCCTCTGATCTGTCTACTATAACTATTCACACGCCACTGATCTGCCTAGACCTACTCATATGTCTAAATTGAGTAGATTTATTCAGATCTAATCTGCTCTCTCGTTTGTCCGTTGCCACACCACAGCATGCCCGAGTGTGGCTGCCTCCGATCTCCGAACCAGTCCAGTCTCTGTCTCATTCACAATCAGAACTAATTAGCTTACCGAATGGGGTGACGATGTTCCAATGAATCTGACTGCTCTCGTTTGACCTGATCTGATCTCGTTTTGGGGGGATGCCAGGTGCCCGATGCACGATTCCCGATGCCCGATGGCAACTTTTAGTAAACAAAATGTTTTCGGGGTTAAGACTACAGCGACCGACTGCTATCCCTCTCTCTCCCCCTGCCGCTTGTACCGTTTCGATTTCGATATTCTGCCGAAAAAAAAAAAAAGTCAATGACGAATTTTTATCGACTGACCGCAAATCAAAATAAACACAAATACAAATACAGTGCACAGAGCTCTGCCCCCCTCTTCGTACTTCGTACTGTTCACGGAGCGCCTCGAAATCTGACAAAATAATGAACTGTCAGAAAACATGGGAAATAAACAATAATAATGCGGATAATGCGGGTTACCCCCTGCCCAAATACCCCTCCCACATCCCCAGAAAGCCACACAAAATGGCTGACATCGCCCATCGACAAGGGGGCCGCCGCGGACGCACTGCCTAATTGGTCTGTGATGTGACGGCTATGGGATGAGAGAGCGTGATGGATCAGCCACAAACGACTAGGGTGGGTTGGACTCTAGCTGGCCAATTAGCCACAGTAGCAAGTAGGGGAGGAATTTATAGGGTATCAGGCAGCAGCACCCATGAACAGCTCTGTGGGGGTAACCCAAGGAAACCCAAATTCAATGCCAGATGCAAATTTTCTGCTGGGTAGCATTTTCCTTGCTGGTAAATACACAACTGAAGAATGGCTGCGAATAACTAAAATGTATTTATTTTAGAATGCCATTAAAATTCCCGAAATGTGCCACTCAAGTGCATGGAGCAATTAAAAATGTTTTTCCCAATACACATTTCTCCAATGCTTTTGCTTCGACCGGCAAAGCTATGCCAGTAAATTCTCGATTGCGATTTAAATTCCGAATACATAAGTATTCACATAGAAGCCACACAGAGAGTTGTTTGTGCATTGAACTCCCCTCGAGTGCAGCCACCTTTCCGCGAATAGGCCCCCAATTAAATCGAACAGTTGATGTATCGCCATTGCCCCCAAAAAATCCGTTGCATTCGTAATTAATTGAGCCGCATACACGGGAGTGGGGATGGCCAGGGGTAGCGTAAAGTTGAAGTATATTGATTCAGTTACGAGTCGTTCAGAATCGCTGATCCATCAGCCGAACGATTCGCTCCGCTCCGGTTCGTGGTCGGGGCCTCTGGCACCACGTGCCGAAACCACAGCCGCAATCGAAATCGAAATCGAAATCAAGCGCGTCAGATCACATAATTTACAAATTGTTAACACTGAGAATTAACACCCAAAAGCATCCACATGCGTACGGGGCGGGTGGGTGAAAATCGGAGGCAGCAGCAGCAGCAGCAGCAATGAACCCCAATCATCAATTACCCAGAAAGTCCGAGGGCCGGGTGGATGGGTTGGGTGGTTGGGTGGGGTCGTGTCCGATGGCTAAAACTGAACCGAACTGAGCTGAACGAAGAGTGTTAGAAGAATGGGATCTAAATTCTGTTTGTGTTTCTTTGCAGGTCAAATGTTTCTTATGAATCGATTTTTCGATGGCGAATTTATGACATTTGGCCTGGATGTGATAGATTATATGGAGACCGATCAAGAAGACCGCATGGATCCTATGATTTACATTTTTCCCAGAATGACCAAATGTACATTTTTTAAATATGGTTCAAGTGGGGAGGTGAGTCGCGAAAATTGGTTATGACCCCCCATTTTGCGGCTATTAATGTTTGGCATTGTAATCTCTGTCTATCTTTACAGGTGGAGAAACACGACGCCATTTGCATTTTACCATTAAATGTTGTTAATGAGAAGATTTACATTTTCCTTTGGTTTTGGTTTATCTTATTAACGTTTCTCACAATGTTAACGCTAATATACAGGGTGGTTATTATATTCTCGCCTCGAATGAGGGTCTACTTATTTCGTATGCGATTTAGGTGAGTGCACCGTGTATGGCCCCCCCACCACCCACATATCCAGCCATATCCATTGGGGATATGTCGATGTGTCGTTCTTCTTTACTTATGATTTCCCCTTTTCTTCTCTTCTCTTCTTTTCTTTTCTTTGTTTGTTTTTTTCTTGTTGCTATTCCAGGTTAGTGCGTCGTGACGCTATTGAAATAATCGTTCGTCGTTCGAAGATGGGCGATTGGTTTTTGTTGTATTTACTAGGTGAAAACATAGATACAGTTATATTTCGTGATGTTGTACAGGACTTAGCGAATCGTTTAGGACATAACCAACACCACAGGGTGCCTGGATTGAAAGGTGAAATACAGGATGCATGATATTGGGAGTATTAGAAACAATACAAAATGCAATTTGTCGTCTCCAACTAAAAACCATCAAAAGTAACTAATAAAAAAACAAACAAACAAACAAACAACAACTGCAAAAAAAACCACAAGAAAACACACAAGAAAAAAAGAACACCCACAGCAGCAGCCACACAGCAAGTACAACCAACGATCACAGCAGCAGCCGCTTCATGAAAAAAGTTCAAAAAATATATTAAAAAAAAAATACTTAAAAAATCGTATCTTCAAAAAATACAACCAAAAAAACTATCGTCAGCGCAGTCGCAAACGCAGTCATACATTTCAACTCTCACATCAGATATCAGATCGGATCAGCCAGAAAAGAAGCTGAGCAGCAGGACGGAGCAGAACGCGGAACGCGGAACGGAACTAACGATAGTCGATAGCACACCAATAAGCGATTACTATAAGAACCAGCGAACCATACCATACAACCACAAGGAAGCGAAGCGGACGCAACTGTACCAAAAAGTGCGAGCAAAGGCAGCAGCGGAACATTCAAAGAGGAATAGCAACAAAAGGGTACAGAGAACAATGGAATGAAAACCAAAAGCAAAGCAACAACAACAGAAAGCAGACCGTCGCCAGATCGTCAGAGATTCGGTGATCGGTCAGTCAGTCAGTCAGTCAGTAAATAATGAATGGATGCCATTGCATAAAAGCAGCCATGGAGGAAAAGTGAATCGGGGAACTGCCACTGGGCGGTTGCCCCGGGCCGGACAATGCAACCGGATGCACGTAGCGCCTGCGTCCGGGCGCGTGTCACATGGATACAAGTCACAAAGAGCGCGCGAACAGCGAACAGCGAACAAGTTGGCGCGCGATTAAATAGAAAAGTTGCCCCAAAGGACAAGTACAAGTGGTGTGCGGCCAAGGACATGGACAGACGAGCAAATTGGGGAAAATGGGGTGTTAGCACAGTGCTCTCGCTCTGTCTCTCTCACTCAGAGCATCTCAAAACTCACCCACACAGACACACACACACACGCACAGAGCACATACAGACATCACGGCATCAATCATACGCCCCGTAGAACGAGTCACACACACACACAAATACACTCACGGACACACACACACACATACACACACCAGCACATCGCACTTTGCTTGTCATGCAGCAGTAACTAAACCAAACATCAAAAAAGTCGAGACGACACCCGCGGAAAATTGCATTTCTGTATTAACCCCAATATAAATTAAGAGGAGAGAATAATAGTAGCTCCGAAAAACAAAACAAAACAAAACAAAACATCAGCATCGAAGAAACACCAATCAACAAACCAACAACAAAGTCACCAACGATGCGCAAAATACTGTAACAACAACACAAAAACGAGGAGGAGGCAGAGAAAGTGAATCTCTAGCGGAGAATGAACGAGAATCTCAGCAGAGCAGCAGCATACATACCGCAACATACAAGTGGAATGAATGGCAGGCAGCAGGAGCAGAGATGAGAACAGGCGGCGGAATACTCGTACGAAGCGGAATAAAAGAGGAAGCGGAAGCGGATGCGTCAGAAGTAAAAGTTTAATTAAATTAAATTCAATTCAATTAAATTACTTATTACAATGATATCTTGAAGTGTTCATGTATTCGAATGTAGGTTAACTAAGTCAAGCATACAAATAATTCTATACATATGTATATGAATCCACATATATATATATATATATATATATATATATATATAGATAATAATTTTTTTTTTCTAACTCTAAGCATTTGTATTACCCGCTAAACAAATGAACAACAAAAACAAAACCACAAACAAATGGAAAACAAAAAAAAGAAAACCTACCAAAAAAAAAAAAAAAAAAAAAATACTGAAAAAATGAAAACCGAAAACAGAATTTTTTGTATACAAATGGGGTGAAAACAGAAAAAAAAACACACACACACACACACAAAAAAAAAAACAATGAGCAGATAAAAGATAAACCAAACGAACAAAAAATATCAGTAAATATCAAGAAAGAGTTCAGAGCAAGTGGAAAGTGGAAAGGGGCGAAGAGGAAGAAGAAGATGAAGATGATGGGAAAAAAGCGGAGAAAATACCATGAAATAAGCATTAATACCGAAACAAAACGAACAACACGAAAAATGAAAAGAAAAGAAAACCAAAAAATACACTTACATAATTTAATTAGATCGAGACTTTAGCGCGCATCATTATACATACATACATACAACCAACAAACAAACATACATATAACCGAAAGAACAAACAGACAGACAGAAACTCGAATACAGATACCAGACACCAGACATCAGACGGAGACACTCATGGAGTAATATTTTCAACTTATAAAAGAAGACAAAAGATGTTCATGCATACAACCACACACACACACACAAACACACACAGACACAACACACACACACAAACATATATATATATAACGTATATATACATAGTATATAAATTATATATTATTATTATCGATCATTCAGCATAAAGAAAGAGAGCAGCAAAACATTCACAGCATAAATCAATTAACTCAACTAATAAATAGAGCATACTCAGATAATTCTCTCTCTCTCTCTCTCTCTATGAAAATATGCCTAATACTCAACCACACAACCACAAGAAACAAAAAAACCAAAAACAAAACAAAAACAAATACAAAGAAAATGATAATGCTTTGCCACATAAATCAATTGTAATCATAATGATAATATAATTAATAATAATAATAGTATGGATAATAGTTCAGACTTAATTTCGACAATTCCTCCCTCACACAAAGTCAAAGGGCATTGCAGCAGCTCCAGCTACCCACCCCCATCCAGATCTATCAAGCCCTTCCCCAGAAACCAAACATACTTATGTAGCCATAGAGCCTTAGATCAACCCATCAGCCGCATATACATTCGTACGCGTAGATTCATCCACTCCACATAGAACTCGACTCGAATCGATTTCAAAATGTGCTGCAAATTGTAATATCCGTCCAAGAAACCTTTTTGAAGCGCACCCTTTATGTTTAGGCAATCTTCTCTATCATCTCTCTTCGATTTTTCATTTCTTACTTGCTGTTAGCCTTGCGTTTACCAATTAAACCAAATACCAAAGTGAAAAGGACCAAATCAAAGTCACAAATGCCTCACAAGCTATCCATTTGCTCCACAGATCTCTCCCCATAACTATCTATCCATCATCACTATTCTCTCTGAAATCTCTCTGAAAAGGACGACCAATGACGAACCACAGACACAGCCAGACAAAGCCAAGCCAATTATGCAAAATGTCACTGCCAAACAAAAATAATTCAAACAATCAAATTAAAATAGTTAACGCACAGGGTGGCTAAGAAATTGGGGAAGGGAAGGGATGGCAAGGGCGGGGATGTACGGGGGGACAGGGCATGCTGCAATGCTTTATATATACAGGAATTGGCCCCAAACAAAAATACATAATGTTCCTTGTCTCGAATTCGAACTCAGAATTAGGAATTGCCGATGAATGTTCTCACAAGGAATTAATCCGCTCACAGTTTTTTTTTTAATATTCTGGCAACTTATTCATCTAGTAAACAAATTTTTGTTTGTTCTTTGTTTTTGTTGGTTTGTTGTTGTTGTTTTTTTTTCTAATCATACAGCATCATACAGCATACTCAAAGACGCATTAGATTTTAGCCAATGGAAATGTAAGGGACAGGCAGAATGATGGTCGGTCGTGGTGGGGACACGAAGTAGAAGTATCCGAGTCCCTATGAAACTCAAAGTAGAGATGTGGATCATGAGCAGGGGGAGGAGCAGGAGCAGGAGAAGGAGTAGGAGCAGGAGAGCATGTAGTCGATGCAAAAAAAAACAATAATTATAACAATAAATGGTAATAAGTAATTTTAGCGTATTTTTTTTAACAGCTTATAGCCAACGTAAGTGTACACATATTTGTAATTGTAGTTCGAAACTGAACATATGTAAATCAACTGAAGGGAAGAGGGAAAGAACGTTTTTTTTTAATCATATCTTCTTTTTTTTTGGTGGTCCTCGAGGATTAGTATTAGATAATAAGCACACACACACAAACACATACACACACACAGAACCGAACAACCGTACTACAATAAACTCACACACTGAAAAGATAAACGAAAAGCAAAAGCAAAAGCAAAGAGAATGTACTTGTATAAATATCGTGGGGAGATCGTAAGCTAAAGGGTTACTTACTCGTATACATCTATGTAATTATAGTGGAGGAAGCGAAGGAATACCATACCAAAACGTAAGCATATTACAAGGAAATTGCCATTAGTCGATAGTGTTAAAAGCGATATGTATTGTATGATCAACGCACTCTCATACGAGTACATAATGGATAGGGTTATAGGGCCGCGGACAGAACAGCATAGAACTCTGTCCGGGAAACACTTAGTTTAGCTCAATCAAGTCAAAGGAATGAATCTCTCGTAGCTCGTAACTCCAACTAAAAGCAATTGTAAAATATCGTAACATCGGGCGTGTGCCCGGGATTCACAGAGATTCAAAGCCCAAAATTGAATCGCATCGGATCGCAACAAAGCCGTTAATCAATGAATCGGTTAATCGGTTCATCGAAATTCAAATTGAACAAACGAACCAGCAAACAAAAACAAGTCGACGGTGAAGCAAGACTTTATTTTTCAAAGTATTTGCCGCAATATATACACAATATACTACATACATACATGCATACATACAAACTATACCTAAAAGAAAATACGAATTGTAATAGCTGAATCTAGCTGTAAGAAGAAGAAGAAGAAGAAGACGGAAGAAAGAGAAGCAGAGAACATTTCATAGACGCAACTCGAAAAGCAATAAGCAGCAGGCAATGCAGGCAAAGCAGGCGGGCAAAGGTAAAGCAAAAACAGGCGATATATTGTACGTAGACTTTTCACCCCCGTTTCACCTCCGGTCAATTCGGTCAGTCCACATTTCACCACAGCAAAAGCGAATCAATTCCGTTTGCCCACTTCTTTCAGTTTCTTGGTTGCTTTCTACCCATCCTTCCACTCTTTCTCTTTTTCTTTCCTTCACGAACCTCAGCCAGGACTCTTTGGAGACTCTGCCTACACAGTTTG